AGGGAAAAAGAGGGACAGAAGGAAAATGGGGGAAATTGGGGAAATGGGAGAAATGTGTGAAGAGTGAAAGTTATGGTGGGAACTTAAAAATTGGAATTGTAGGTACTCTTCATAAATAAATAGACATATTTCAAAGTAATTGGTTTTTATATATTAAGGGAGAAAACGGAATGTGAAAGTTTGAATAAGACTTTCGGTTTTTTAATTGTAGAAATTTAAAAATTGGAATTCTAGCTACTTATCGTAAGTAAATAGTGAAGCATTTCAAGGTTTTGGATTTTCATATTTTAAGGAGAAAGGAAAATGGGGAGTATCGTAAACATAAAAAAAAATAAATAAAAATTAGTTAAATAGAAAAAAAAATTATTAAAAATTATTAAAATTATTAAAAATTATTAAAAATTACTAAAAATTATTAAAAATTATTAAAAATTATTAAAAATTATTAAAAATTATTAAAAATTATTAAAAATTATTAAAAATTATTAAAAATTATTAAAAATTATTAAAAATTATTAAAAATTATTAAAAATTATTAAAAATTATTAAAAATTATTAAAAATTATTAAAAATTATTAAAAATTATTAAAAATTATTAAAAATTATTAAAAATTATTAAAAATTATTAAAAATTATTAAAAATTATTAAAAATTATTAAAAATTATTTAAAATTATTTAAAATTATTAAAAATTATAAAAAATTATTAAAAATTATTAAAAATTATTAAAAATTATTAAAAATTATTAAAAATTATTAAAAATTATTAAAAATTATTAAAAATTATTAAAAATTAATAAAGATTAATAAAAATTAATAAAAATTAATAAAAATTAATAAAAATTATTAAAAATTAATAAAAATTAATAAAAATTAATAAAAATTATTAAAAATTAATAAAAATTAATAAAAATTATTAAAAATTAATAAAAATTAATAAAAATTAATAAAAATTAATAAAAATTAATAAAAATTAATAAAAATTAATAAAAATTAATAAAAATTAATAAAAATTAATAAAAATTAATAAAAATTAATAAAAATTAATAAAAATTAATAAAAATTAATAAAAATTAATAAAAATTAATATAAATTAATATAAATTAATAAAAATTAATTAAAATTAATATAAATTAATAAAAATTAATTAAAATTAATAAAAATTAATAAAAATTAATAAAAATTAATAAAAATTAATAAAAATTAATAGAAATTAATAAAAATTAATAAAAATTAATAAAAATTGTTAAAAATTATTAAAAATTAATAAAAAATAATAAAAATTAATAACAATTAACAAAAATTAATAATTATGAATTTTTTAAATTATAAACACGGCACCACGCGTGCAAAGCCGCGGGCAAAAGCTAGTTGGAAATAAATATTTAATTTATTTATGTACCTACAGGGCGTTAAGCAAATATAACAGTTGATACTAGTACTAGTGGTTTTCTCGAAAAACGAAATAGTAGGGGAGACCGGAGTTGTGTGTCATATGGGATAGGTTGGCAGTACTTTCAAATCCATAGGGTTAATTTTAAAATATTTTGCGGTAAAGTGAGAACATTGCTCAATATTTTGACTTTATACTTTTTTGAATGCTTCATAAATACACAATGAGATTGATTGGGACTTAACTTTCGTTCATGGGATAATGTTGCCAAGGGAACGCTTGTCAGATAACAACTAAAAATGTATATCCCTTAGTGAGGAAATGTGTAGTTGACAAGTTATAAATGATTTAACTTTAGTTTAGCTGAAGTCAGTAATAAATATTGAATTTATTTGCCTCTAATTACATTCTCACTATTAGTGGCTGACGTTATTTGTAATATGTCTCTATTACCAAATTCAAATTGTACTTGTTTATTTGACAGTAATCTCCAGCCAAGCGTGTGTGTTATATATGTATGCTGTGTTGCATATTGAAAACGTGGTAAATTACCTATTATTATTTCAATTAAAATATTCAGGTTGGTCTACATTTTGTTTTAAAATACCGATTAACTTGGTTTTAATCGGTCTGAAAATATCGTTCCATTTATACAAATTTTATGGATGAAACGATATTTTCAGAAGTGGCGTAGATCAGTGCTACACTTTCAATACCAAGAAAAAGACCTATTTATTGCAAACGCCAACAATGTCAAATTATGACAAATCACCGAAAACTTCAACTTTCCTGTTAGATTAGGATGTACAAAAGTCTACTTTGTATAGTGGTGGTAGAAAAATTATTTTATAGAAATAATTATGCGATAAAATAAATGAAAACCTACCCCAAAGGAGGTGACAATCCGTTCTAATGCCAGGGTAGGTTGAGGTTGGGAAAAGTTCTACAACTTTTAACTTTAAATTTATTTAGGAAGAGAAATGGAGAAACGGAAATAGAGAAAAATGAACAGTTTACTACTTTATCATGAAAAAGTTACACTGGGTAATAATGCAGAAATTCCTGAGAACGAATTCAGTACGTTGTTCGAAGACAAAATTTTACAAAACCAAGTTAAAATGTTCCAGAACAAGATTAAGTCCCTAGAAGATTTATATAACATAATGGTAAATGTTACAAGGGAAGAAACTGAAGTTCTAAGTTCTAGGCATCAAACAAAGAGAGGTCATTTTATAAAACCTATAGTATCAGGCAACAAGTAAGTCTAATTTTATGTTGAAATGTTTTAACTGCAATGGTGAAAGTCGCCGTATTTAGGACTATACTAAGCCACGAAGAGAGAAAGGTTCATGTTTTAGTTGTGGTAAAATAGACCACAAAATAAAAGACTGACGACAAAAAGTAGGAAATCAACTTCTACTTCGTTAAATGAACTGGAAGATAAAGTTCTGTGCAAACCTTTTTATGTAAATGTTGATTTTGATGAACTAAAATTAAATTATGTAGAATATGCAGAATATAAACATGGCCCATAGTGCCTCAAAGCAAAATATCAGCGGCAAATGCTCAAATCAATCACAATCAACATTCAAATATGCAATCTACAAATCAATCAAAACTCAGCATCTTCATCTAATTATGTATATCAAAATGAAGCTAGGATCTTCACATCAACACAATCAAAGGTATCAGTCTAACAAGTTCAACATATAAATAAAATTCGATCAAATCATTATCAAACACAATCATACAATCAACATGTAAATCAAAATTAATCAGATCAATATCAAACACAATCTTACAGTCAACAAACAAATCGAATTCAACCAAATTCAAAGCAAATTTAGACTTTTACCACTAGTACGCAGGTCATTGACGCCTTACCAGAAGTTCAAAATACAACAGCGCTTTTAGCCATGATATCTAAAACCAATTACATATTAGTAGCTACAGTTCAAGTAAAAATTTACCCAAAAAATAGAGCTCCGTTTGTCGTAAAGCCCTATAATAAAAATTTAGGTAATTTAAATGAATGTAATGAAATTTCTCAATCTGTATATATACCTGTAACACCCAAACACAATGAACAAAAACGATTTAAATTATCTTGCGTAATAGTTGAAAATATAACTCAAAAATTTCATCAAGTAGGGCCTCATTACAGTTAGGTAGATGAACACAGGTACGTCATCAATTGGCGGAGTAATTCGTTAGATATCCCGCCTACTGGGGGTTTAGTGGCTTGTAAATATTATAGAAATGTAGGAATAGTATTTTTATACCAAACAACTTACATAATAATATTATTCTTTATTTATTGATAGTTATAGATGATATATATTGGAAATTCGAAATAATAGTTATGACGTAGGTGTGTTCTTCTAATTGTAATCGGACCCTACAAATAAATGTATCTAACTTGCAAATACCTAATTATTATCTTAAAAATTTCACTGATAGCGGATTTCACATCCCCTCTGAAATTGATATTTTGGCCAGCGCGGATGTATAGTATTCATTTATCTTGGGCAGTTTCAAAACTCCAAGAGTCTGCCTATATTTGTAAATACTCATTTTGGATGGCTACTGACTGAATTTGCATTGAACCTATAAACGGTAAAAGTAACGTAATTCATTCATTTTTTACAAACATTTTTAACAAGATACTCCAGTTACTCTTAACTTACCCTGTATAAATAATGAAAAGAAAGGTAAAATAAAAATAACATCATAGTTTATTATTCAATCCATAAATAAAAAAAAATTAAAATAATGTTTCAATCGCTTAAAAAAAATATAGAACCACCCTGTACACACAATATAAAAGTTATTTTTAGAATAGACTCCTACTCTCTGATCTGCTTGGTAACAAACAGTTAAAATTACATCTCTCTCATCATATAAGTCTATCTCAGTTACTCCTAGTTAATGTTCAACAATAAAATAAGGAGTTTCAACAAGTTAGATACATTCTCAAACTTGACCAGTAAGATTCATTTTATTTGCTCTCTGCTGAAATCAGCCCTGTAAAGTAAGATGTTATAAATCGACTTTTAATTACCACATATGTAAGCCACCAATTTAAGTACATTGTAAAAATGTTATAGTTTGTATCAGAGTTTACCAAGTTTAAATAAATAAGTAACAGGAAGGTACATTTTTAATTTCAACCAATGGAAGAGAATTCAAAATCCAGAAGTTGGTGCTCGAACCACCTATAGAGTAGTTATAATCCATAGCCGATGGAAATCCATCTCTGTGACTTGGAATCAAATAGAAAAATTCCATAGTTCGGAACAACGGTTTCCAGTAGTAGTAAAATTATTGTCATGTCACGACTTCAAAGTCAATGTTGTAACTGTGATAAAACTATATCAGTGACAAACTCACTGTGACGTGAAATATCGCCCATCCTTAGTAAGAAATATTTAGTTTACTTAATTTATTGAAATGATTCAGACTACTTAAAAAAACATGACCATTTATTATAGCAACAAATAATTATCAGAACAATACTTAAATATAGTTAACATTACTTTATGTATTTAAAATAAATTAACACATTAATGTCAGAAACACATATTTTATTTGTTCTAACAGAACCACTTAATTCATTTATAATAGCAACAAATAGTTATCAGAACAATACTTAAATATAGTTAACATTACTTTATGTATTTAACACATTAATTCTTAACCAATAACACATATTTTATTTTTTCTAATAACATCATTTAATTTTTCAAATGCGTACTTACAGCTTGCTCAGATATCAGCGTCAATCTCTGCAAACTTTCAACTTCATCATTTGATGCATTCCTAATACTAATAGCATTTAAAATATTGGATCCAATCATGTGTCCTACACATCTAATCATTTTTCCTAAATCAAAATCTTCAATAGCGAGACGGGTAATATGTGGGTAATAAACAACTTGTAGTATAGGTCCGGTTCTGTCTCGTAACAGCATGACTTTTTGGGTTCGTATCTTACCTTCCTGGAGAGATATAACAGCAGCGATAACTTCGAAACAGCAGGATTTATTGGACAAAAGTTTGTTCCATTGTATGACTCTTTCGACTGTCCCTGTAAGTATAAAGAGTTTCTCACCGGGATGAGAACCAAATGGCTTAAAATCTTTATTGTTAGTGTCAGATTTCGAAGTCGAAGTCTTGTTCACATTTTGAATATTTCGAGATATTTGAGTGACATTAGGTATACTTTCAATACTGCGACTACCGCTGGCACCGTTTTGAATTGTTGAAATTTCAGTGTTATTTCTTTTCTTATGAAAATTATTAGATCCACTAGCATCGTTTTGAACAGTTGAAATTTCAGTATGATTTCTTTTCTTATGAAAATCAATACTTCCGCTAGCACCGTTTTGGGCGGTTGAATATTGAATTTCATTTATATTCTCAGGAAAATTATTTACTACAATATGTTGTATAGTGTTAATGTTTGAATTAGTAAACATATTTCTTACTTTTTGTTGAAATTCTAGTTTATTTTAGACTAAACGAATATGTTGGATTATGTTGAACTAAATTATAATAAATGGTAAACTTCAACAATGAAAAAACTGTCAGATAATCAGGAACATCTGAATGTCACTGACATAACAGACTTGGCTTACTTTATATCGTATAAATATATAAATGCGAAAGTTTGGATGGATGGATGTATGGATGGGGAAAATGGGGATGAAAGGGAAAAAGAGGGACAGAAGGAAAATGGGGGAAATTGGGGAAATGGGAGAAATGTGTGAAGAGTGAAAGTTATGGTGGGAACTTAAAAATTGGAATTGTAGGTACTCTTCATAAATAAATAGACATATTTCAAAGTAATTGGTTTTTATATATTAAGGGAGAAAACGGAATGTGAAAGTTTGAATAAGACTTTCGGTTTTTTAATTGTAGAAATTTAAAAATTGGAATTCTAGCTACTTATCGTAAGTAAATAGTGAAGCATTTCAAGGTTTTGGATTTTCATATTTTAAGGAGAAAGGAAAATGGGGAGTATCGTAAACATAAAAAAAAATAAATAAAAATTAGTTAAATAGAAAAAAAAATTATTAAAAATTATTAAAATTATTAAAATTATTAAAAATTATTAAAAATTACTAAAAATTATTAAAAATTATTAAAAATTATTAAAAATTATTAAAAATTATTAAAAATTATTAAAAATTATTAAAAATTATTAAAAATTATTAAAAATTATTAAAAATTATTAAAAATTATTAAAAATTATTAAAAATTATTAAAAATTATTAAAAATTATTAAAAATTATTAAAAATTATTAAAAATTATTAAAAATTATTAAAAATTATTAAAAATTATTAAAAATTATTAAAAATTATTAAAAATTATTAAAAATTATTAAAAATTATTAAAAATTATTAAAAATTATTAAAAATTATTAAAAATTATTAAAAATTATTAAAAATTATTAAAAATTATTAAAAATTATTAAAAATTATTAAAAATTATTAAAAATTATTAAAAATTATTAAAAATTATTAAAAATTATTAAAAATTATTAAAAATTATTAAAAATTATTAAAAATTATTAAAAATTATTTAAAATTATTTAAAATTATTAAAAATTATAAAAAATTATAAAAAATTATTAAAAATTATTAAAAATTATTAAAAATTATTAAAAATTATTAAAAATTATTAAAAATTATTAAAAATTATTAAAAATTATTAAAAATTATTAAAAATTAATAAAGATTAATAAAAATTAATAAAAATTAATAAAAATTAATAAAAATTAATAAAAATTAATAAAAATTATTAAAAATTAATAAAAATTAATAAAAATTATTAAAAATTAATAAAAATTAATAAAAATTAATAAAAATTAACAAAAATTAATAAAAATTAATAAAAATTAATAAAAATTAATAAAAATTAATAAAAATTAATAAAAATTAATAAAAATTAATAAAAATTAATAAAAATTAATAAAAATTAATAAAAATTAATAAAAATTAATAAAAATTAATAAAAATTAATAAAAATTAATAAAAATTAATAAAAATTAATTAAAATTAATAAAAATTAATAAAAATTAATAAAAATTAATAAAAATTAATAAAAATTAATAAAAATTAATAAAAATTAATAAAAATTAATAAAAATTAATAAAAATTAATAAAAATTAATAAAAATTATTAAAAATTATAAAAAATTAATAAAAAATAATAAAAATTAAAAATTAATAACAATTAACAAAAATTAATAATTATGAATTTTTTAAATTATAAACACGGCACCACGCGTGCAAAGCCGCGGGCAAAAGCTAGTTGGAAATAAATATTTAATTTATTTATGTACCTACAGGGCGTTAAGCAAATATAACAGTTGATACTAGTACTAGTGGTTTTCTCGAAAAACGAAATAGTAGGGGAGACCGGAGTTGTGTGTCATATGGGATAGGTTGGCAGTACTTTCAAATCCATAGGGTTAATTTTAAAATATTTTGCGGTAAAGTGAGAACATTGCTCAATATTTTGACTTTATACTTTTTTGAATGCTTCATAAATACACAATGAGATTGATTGGGACTTAACTTTCGTTCATGGGATAATGTTGCCAAGGGAACGCTTGTCAGATAACAACTAAAAATGTATATCCCTTAGTGAGGAAATGTGTAGTTGACAAGTTATAAATGATTTAACTTTAGTTTAGCTGAAGTCAGTAATAAATATTGAATTTATTTGCCTCTAATTACATTCTCACTATTAGTGGCTGACGTTATTTGTAATATGTCTCTATTACCAAATTCAAATTGTACTTGTTTATTTGACAGTAATCTCCAGCCAAGCGTGTGTGTTATATATGTATGTTGTGTTGCATATTGAAAACGTGGTAAATTACCTATTATTATTTCAATTAAAATATTCAGGTTGGTCTACATTTTGTTTTAAAATACCGATTAACTTGGTTTTAATCGGTCTGAAAATATCGTTCCATTTATACAAATTTTATGGATGAAACGATATTTTCAGAAGTGGCGTAGATCAGTGCTACACTTTCAATACCAAGAAAAAGACCTATTTATTGCAAACGCCAACAATGTCAAATTATGACAAATCACCGAAAACTTCAACTTTCCTGTTAGATTAGGATGTACAAAAGTCTACTTTGTATAGTGGTGGTAGAAAAATTATTTTATAGAAATAATTATGCGATAAAATAAATGAAAACCTACCCCAAAGGAGGTGACAATCCGTTCTAATGCCAGGGTAGGTTGAGGTTGGGAAAAGTTCTACAACTTTTAACTTTAAATTTATTTAGGAAGAGAAATGGAGAAACGGAAATAGAGAAAAATTAACAGTTTACTACTTTATCATGAAAAAGTTACACTGGGTAATAATGCAGAAATTCCTGAGAACGAATTCAGTACGTTGTTCGAAGACAAAATTTTACAAAACCAAGTTAAAATGTTCCAGAACAAGATTAAGTCCCTAGAAGATTTATATAACATAATGGTAAATGTTACAAGGGAAGAAACTGAAGTTCTAAGTTCTAGGCATCAAACAAAGAGAGGTCATTTTATAAAACCTATAGTATCAGGCAACAAGTAAGCCTAATTTTATGTTGAAATGTTTTAACTGCAATGGTGAAAGTCGCCGTATTTAGGACTATACTAAGCCACGAAGAGAGAAAGGTTCATGTTTTAGTTGTGGTAAAATAGACCACAAAATAAAAGACTGACGACAAAAAGTAGGAAATCAACTTCTACTTCGTTAAATGAACTGGAAGATAAAGTTCTGTGCAAATCTTTTTATGTAAATGTTGATTTTGATGAACTAAAATTAAATTATGTAGAATATGCAGAATATAAACATGGCCCATAGTGCCTCAAAGCAAAATATCAGCGGCAAATGCTCAAATCAATCACAATCAACATTCAAATATGCAATCTACAAATCAATCAAAACTCAGCATCTTCATCTAATTATGTATATCAAAATGAAGCTAGGATCTTCACATCAACACAATCAAAGGTATCAGTCTAACAAGTTCAACATATAAATAAAATTCGATCAAATCATTATCAAACACAATCATACAATCAACATGTAAATCAAAATCAATCAGATCAATATCAAACACAATCTTACAGTCAACAAACAAATCGAATTCAACCAAATTCAAAGCAAATTTAGACTTTTACCACTAGTACGCAGGTCATTGACGCCTTACCAGAAGTTCAAAATACAACAGCGCTTTTAGCCATGATATCTAAAACCAATTACATATTAGTAGCTACAGTTCAAGTAAAAATTTACCCAAAAAATAGAGCTCCGTTTGTCGTAAAGCCCTATAATAAAAATTTAGGTAATTTAAATGAATGTAATGAAATTTCTCAATCTGTATATATACCTGTAACACCCAAACACAATGAACAAAAACGATTTAAATTATCTTGCGTAATAGTTGAAAATATATAACTCAAAAATTTCATCGAGTAGGGCCTCATTACAGTTAGGTAGATGAACACAGGTACGTCATCAATTGGCGGAGTAATTCGTTAGATATCCCGCCTACTGGGGGTTTAGTGGCTTGTAAATATTATAGAAATGTAGGAGTAGTATTTTTATACCAAACAACTTACATAATAATATTATTCTTTATTTATTGATAGTTATAGATGATATATATTGGAAATTCGAAATAATAGTTATGACGTAGGTGTGTTCTTCTAATTGTAATCGGACCCTACAAATAAATGTACCTAACTTGCAAATACCTAATTATTATCTTAAAAATTTCACTGATAGCGGATTTCACATCCCCTCTGAAATTGATATTTTGGCCAGCGCGGATGTATACTATTCATTTATCTTGGGCAGTTTCAAAACTCTTGGCAAGAGTCTGCCTATATTTGTAAATACTCATTTTGGATGGCTACTGACTGAATTTGCATTGAACCTATAAACGGTAAAAGTAACGTAATTCATTCATTTTTTACAAACATTTTTAACAAGATACTCCAGTTACTCTTAACTTACCCTGTATAAATAAGGAAAAGAAAGGTAAAATAAAAATAACATCATAGTTTATTATTCAATCCATAAATAAAATAAAATTAAAATAATGTTTCAATCGCTTAAAAAAAATATAGAACCACCCTGTACACACAATATAAAAGTTATTTTTAGAATAGACTCCTACTCTCTGATCTGCTTGGTAACAAACAGTTAAAATTACATCTCTCTCATCATATAAGTCTATCTCAGTTACTCCTAGTAAATGTTCAACAATAAAATAAGGAGTTTCAACAAGTTAGATACATTCTCAAACTTGACCAGTAAGATTCATTTTATTTGCTCTCTGCTGAAATCAGCCCTGTAAAGTAAGATGTTATAAATCGACTTTTAATTACCACATATGTAAGCCACCAATTTAAGTACATTGTAAAAATGTTATAGTTTGTATCAGAGTTTACCAAGTTTAAATAAATAAGTAACAGGAAGGTACATTTTTAATTTCAACCAATGGAAGAGAATTCAAAATCCAGAAGTTGGTGCTCGAACCACCTATAGAGTAGTTATAATCCATAGCCGATGGAAATCCA